TTTTTTTTTTTTTTTTTTGGTACTGGGGATTAAACTCAGGACCTTGTGCTTGAAAGGCAGGGTGTGGAACCACTGAGCTAAATCCCCAGGCCCTCTTCTTCAATTTTTATGTACCACCTGCCATCCATGTATCACCAATCACACTAAAACAAAACCCCTTCACTCTGATAATTTTAAATGGGAAACTGAGTATGTGGGAGCTACAATTCAGATCGAATTCTCAAGATCCATATACACCAATTCAATGAATCCTGTTAAAAGGCAGGTATAAAAATACACATCATTACAAGTGATACAGAACTTGAAGATCCAGTTAAGGGCGAAGAAATACTGGAATTCTCAATGTTGTAAACCCAAAGGCAGGTGGAAGGGCATCTCAGCTTCCAGCACATTCCAGGGCGTGTATCTCTCAGAAAGCATTTGCACGGCACACCTGGGCGCTGGGTGCGGCCCACCTCACACCTGGTCCGACAGGCGGGCCAGTCTCTGGGACAGCTCGACCTGCTCGGCCAAGGCCACGCTGGTGCCCACAGAGCCGGTCTGGTCCTGCAGCAGCTCCATGTTTTTTGTGTGTTTTTTTTCTCTTTTGTAACTTTAATTGAAGCATTGCTATTCATTTTTAACTCTTTCTTAAAAGCACCAAATTTTAAAATCTAAGTCAATTTTTTAAAAACCATCAAGAACTTCCCTCTGAAACAAAAACGATGCTCATTCCTCCAAAGGTCCAAATTTAAGTGCCACCACAATCAAAACAAAACAAAAAAACCACACAGAAATAAAAAGTAACAAAAATCACATTCTAGGGGGTCAGTGCATTTAGCAGTCTTTGCTGTACTAATTGTCCTTCAGCTGACTTTCAAAAAAATAACACCCTAGCTCATCAAAATATACATTTTCCATTTGCTTTTTAAAATTAAAAATAATAATGAAAAAGAGGAAACTTTAAGGAAGTCACAATCAATTGCCTGACTCATTTTGATGGCATGTACACCGTATTGAGGTCAGGAAGGCTATCTGCAGCACACCTCATTGGGATATCCATCTTCAGGGTTTAGCTTTCCTCCAAACAGTGTAAAATACCCACAGTTCCAAGTATGAAGGGACACAGATGATCTCCTTCGAGAATTCCACAGGACAATACTGGTGCCCAAGCTGTCCTTCATAGAGTGACAGGGCTTCTGTCAAATTGACAGTTTCCCTGTGTAAAATACTTCCCATCCTGTTTCAATACTTTGAGAGGTCAAGAATCAGTCTGAGAAACTCCCATGTGGAATCTTCTTCTGGAGATGTGGAGATTGGAATAGCTGTCAAATCATTAATCACATAATCAAACTCTCTCCTTTCTTTGGCATACCTCTTCAGTACTGGAATACAGTCTTCTATTAGAAGCTGATAGGAGTCTCCTTTAAGATTGTCTAAGATGTCACTACGTTTTGCACATATATTTCTTACATGCGTCAACCACCATTTGGTCAATCTCTACCATAGTGACCATCTTTGGTTTCAGTTTGACTATTTCACATAATATGCCTCCATCTCCACCTCCCAGAATCAGTACGTCTTTGCCAGTGTAATCTTCTTTGCCACTGCCCATGATGGCCTGGGTATATGCCAAATCACTCTCTGCCAAATTAACATCCCCACTAAGGATGAGAATATTTCCAAACTGCTTTGAGTGTAGAATTTTAATGTTCTGGTAAGGTGAATCTTCATCATATACTACTTCATCTATGTCATACTCAACCAGCCGCCCATCAGCAGTGGGCCAGTATCTGTCGATGGCCCCTCCTCAAACTATGGTTGGTAAACACTTCACCCGCCCAATACTGGCCTGACTCAATTCTTTCATTCTCTCTTCTACTTTGTTCAAAAGGTTGTCGATTTCTTCTTTGCCCTGGATATCACTGTCGTAACTCTGAAGGTCCAGCAATACCAATCCATGTGGATAAATTCTCAAATTGGTGAAGCTGCCATTTTTGTTTGTGTAGGCTGCTAGGTAGCCATGATCCTGCCAGGTATGCACCGACTCTGCCATGCCCTGCTCCTGGAAAATGGATTGCAGGCCTTTTAAAATGGTCTCACCATCAGCTTTGGCGCCGAGCATGAAGTCGAGAGTGCTGTGCCATGCTGCTGCCATAGTGAGGCGAGGCCCTGTGCCATGCCTGGGGGAGGCGGCTGTGGGAGACGGGGGGGCCACACGGCGTGTCAGGCTGCAGCCGGCGGGGAGTGCGCTGCAGGCGGCTCCATGCTGAGATCGAGGGCTGCCTCGTCGGCCATGTCCTGGAGCAGCAGGTCCACCTGGTTCTGGGGAGTGGTCAGCATCATCATGCTGCTCATTGTGTCTTCCACCTGCTGCATCTGGTCGTCCAGCGTCTCAAACTGGTGCTCGAACTTGTCCATCAGGGTGGAGATCTTCTCCAGGTTCATGGTCTTCAGCGTCGCGTCCATCAACTTGACCACACCGACCATGGACTTGGTCACCTTGCCCATGGTCACTGCCGTCTGCACTCAGGCGGCCACCGCATCAACGCGCGTGCTCATTCTCAGGAAATTCACACCCTGGTTCTTCTGGCGGATGGTGTTCTCGGAGTGTATCCTCAACACTTCCATGTTGCCCTTCTGAATGGCCTTTTTAATTTTGGCCTTTTCGGCCTTTTCTTCTTTGTCGCATTTTTTGGCACTCCTGCTCAGTTCTTTGGCCGCAAACTTCAGGTTGAACAGGTGTTTCTCCATGGTGGACATGGTTGGACAGCTGGGGGAGTCGGCAGCCGGGCCTGGGGGCGAGCGGCGAGGAGACGAGGCCAGGCAGGTCCGTTCCCGGCCGCCGCTCCTTTGTTCTACCTGTCTTCTCATTTTGACACGGTGGAGGGTGGTGGTGGTAGTGGTGTTCTTGGTGCCTGCGGCTCACCTCCTCTGTGCTGGGAACTGCAGCACACCTACCCAGAAGCCTCCTCCTGCCTGGGAGCTGTGGCTTGCCAATCTGGAGGTCTTCTCCAGGCTGGGAGCCATGGCATGCCTACCTGGAAGCCTCCTTCTGCCTGAGAGCTGTGGCGCGCCGATCTGGAGGTCTCCTGTGGGCTGGGAGCCATGGCACGCCTACTCAGAAGTCTCCTCCTGCCTGGGAGCCATGGCTTGCCAATCTGGAGGTCTTCTCCAGGCTGGGAGCCATGGCACGCCTACCCACAAGTCTCCTCCTGCCTGGGAGCCATGGCGCACTGATCTGGAGGTCTCCTCTGGGCTGGGGGCTGTGGCATGCCTACCTGGAAGCCTCCTCCTGCCTGGGAGCTATGAGGTGGCCTCTAATTTATTGCTCTTTAATGTTGAATGTAGCCTCACATAAAAACCCTAAATTTAACTTACAAAAGTCTTTTTACATGTATTAATACTTTTCTATACTCTTTAATAGAACATACTATATTCTTGCCATTCAAACTGCAATTCTCACCTGCTGGGAACTAGAAAAGCAGCTCAGTTTAATAAGCTGCACAGATGATAATCCAAGGCTGAGGTCCTCCGTTCCTGGGCGGAGATCAGGGCTCTTTGACAGCTGCGGCTCACACAGATCTCGGCCCTGACACTGACCTGACCTTTACTGTCCATTATTGGCCCACGGAACTTACTATCATCTTCCGCCTCAGACCAGCTACCAGACTGGGATGGTTTCTTGCTGTTTTCCCCTCTCCTAATCCTTCAGGATGAACAGCACGGGTATTTTCCTGTCATTGCTGTGTCTTATGTTCTAGTCTTTCATTGAATAACTCAATTATAGTGAGGGTCTCTCTATCATCGATTCACAAGCCCCATGCAATTTCCTGAGTACCTGTCTGCAACTCTGCCATCTCACAACTACCGACACACACATGTCTGATCTAGAGCCATGGGCAAGCCAGTGTCTTGAGTTCCAACTGCAAGAAGCTTGGTACAGCTGTCCTCAGTGATTAACTGATGGTGAGGAGCCCGGAAAAGGGCTGTCATGCTTCTGTCATGCCCCCACAGCCCCACACCAGCTCCCAGGGACTACTTTCCTCCTGGCTCCGTACAGCACCCCCCCCCCCCCCATACCTGCTCTCCTTGAGGTCTTGGAAGCAGGAATCCACAGTTTTGAGTCTCAGGCCTCTCTTGGAACGAGCAAAACGCATATAATTAACAACTTCATTTTGATGGTGTTCATTTAGGCCCAATTCTGCCTGAAAAGGAGAATTTGTCTTGAAGATTTGATAAAAGAATCAAAAATAAAATATACAGGATACTGCTAGATGTCCAGTGAATTCTGTTCTCCCTTCCTCCTGGCTACAGGGCTGCCCAGCTAAACAGTGCTTCCCCGCCATGCGACTCCTGCCACTTCTCAGGAACCAATGTGAACAGAAGTGAATGTGGGCTATTTTCAAAGCCTGGGGCTTGAAACACGGGGCTCACCCTTGCTACAACCCTGCTTCTCCGAAACCTGGCAGAGTGGTGACTCGGTTGAGCCACGCAAACAGTATCAATGCCCAGGTGGTGGGAGAACAGTGAGATGAAGGGACCCACGTCCCCCACCTCATGGGGGCAGCATCGAGCCATGTGGCAAACTCAAATGAGCAGTGAGGTGGCTAAATGAGAAATGAACTTCTGTATTCTTGAAGCCATTAGTTTTTTGGTCTCTATTATAGCAACTTAACTGCATTCCATTAAATACAACTTCAAAAAGTATATTTTATTTGGAAGTAGCCATCAGTTGGACTTTAAACCAGAAGAGTGCTTTGAGATAGCAAGCAAAGGGCAGGTCAAGCACTGCTTAATATTTGGGCAGGTATCATGCTACTCATTGTCCATGCATTGTCATTTATCATTTTAACACCCCTAGTGTAACTATCTGCATTTTACTAAACAAAAACCTAAGCTTGATTCCAAAGCCTCGGTTAAACTGATGGAAGATGACAGAAGACAGAACATGAACAGGTATCTCTTTTTTCTTTTTTGTACCAGGGATCAAACTCTGGGTCCTTGTGCTTGTGGGTCAGGCAGCGGAACCACTGAGCTAAATCCCTGGCCCCAGGTATCACTCTTTGTGATCTCACCATCATCCTTTCATCAACTCATCCTTGTTATTTTTTAGGGAAATCATGAGGAGTAGGACAGTCTCTAAGCTCAAGAAGGGGAAGATGTTGGAGGTGTGGCTCAGTGGTAAAGTGCTTGCCTAGCATGCATGAGGCCTTGGGCTTAATCTCCGGCACTGCAAACACATAAGAAAAAAAAAATTTAAGACAATTTTTGGGGAAGGGCGTACTGGCACCTGCCTGTAGTCTTAGCTACTCACGAGACTGAGGATAACTTCAGCTCAGGAGATTTGAAACCAGCCTGGCAACATAGCAAAAAGTAAGGAATGGTCTTTTTTTTCAATCTGTTTTGTTCAGTGCTGTAGTCTCAGCATGGAGACAGTACTTGGAACACAGTGGGGACTAAATAAGAATTCTAGTTGCTGAAGTGTTTCAGTAGGCAATTTAAGTGGCTCTCTCACACCTGGTTTCATTCTTTTTTCTCTTGAATACTTCAGTATTATGGACTGTTTTATGTACAACTGCAACTTGGCATGCTATATTTGCTGGAGGAATTAATGGCCTTTTCATTTTTATTTTCTGGTGCTAGGGATCGAACCTAAGGTCTCCATCATGCTGACCCCGCGTTCTACCACCCAGCTACACTCCTAGCTCAGTGCCCTTTCTCGTTCAGGTCAAAACAAAGGAAATGTTACCCAAATTTCCTCAACTGCTAAAGAGGGTTCTTGGATTCTTACATGTTAAAAAATTCCACAACAGAAAGTTGGGTTCAAGCAATTTCACACAGAAAGTTGGATGTGTTCTCTCTTCGACCCTTAACTGTCCACTCTGTCAAAGGAATGTGAGAGCGTGCGCGTGTATGCGTGTATGTGTGTGTGCGTGAGTGTAAATTTGAGCTTTTCAGAATGAAGGACCCTTGTTAGCAAGTCAGACTCCATATTGCTGCTTGACCCACCTGCCTGCCCTTTAGATGAACTCAGAAGGAGGAAGCTTAGAATCCTCCTCCCCTTAGAGAGTCTCTTAGAAACAACAATTAAGCAACTACTGTTTTACAAACGTTCTAACAGCAGGACGTTCTGCTTCTGTACCTTTTGCTTGCTTTACTAGTTCTATTCCATAGGGGGGCCTAGAAACTGCTGGCCTCAAAGGTGTATAAAACATGTTTGTCTCCCCCCAAGTCGGGGCTCGAGTCCGATGCTCGGCTCGGGTCCCGGCCGGTAATAAACTCCTGTGTGGATTTAATATCGGTCTCTGGTTGGTTCTCTGTCGCTGGGTGTAACACAGAAAAAGTTCGAACTCTTTGCGGCGTCCCGGCTCTAATCACCACCGCCACCTGCCAGCTGTGACCGGGTTGGGGCACTTCCAGGCCGCACTGGGTCGAAAGGACGAAGCGACGAAGTACAGCGAGACTAACAGGAGAGGGCGTCAGCCAGTACTACGGGGGTGGTGGTCGCGGGCTGAGGTTAGGCGGGACTCCCGCACCCAGCGCAGCCTCCCTTCCTCCCAGGGCCCAGGAGCGGGACTCGGGCCGCCGTAACTCCGGACCCAACGCGCCGCGTCTGCAGCCCCCGCCGCAGCCTCTTCTCCGCGCCAGCGCGGCCGCTACTCACCATGGTGGCGAGCGGGAGTCACAAGCCTAAAGGAGCCAGCGAGGGCAGGCTAGGACGTGCCCAGCCTGAGCCCAACAACGGCTACCGGACCGCAGACCGCTGGAAGGAATGGAGGTTGTTTAGAAGCCTCAGGTTGCTAATGGGAACGGAGCCACGTGAATCCGCAGTTACGCATTTTGATTGGTCCTTAAAATCACGCGACAGTAAGCTCTGTGTGACTGGCAGACCGCCGCGTGCTCATTAGTTTCCACAGCCGGAAGTCCCGCCTTTTAGCCCCAGGCTCTCTAAGGGAGCCGACTGCCGTTGCCAACAGTAACGGGAGAGGCGGGGCCTCCGGGGACCCTCCCAGTGCGCCTGCGCGCCCGGGGCCGTCCCAGGCTGCGGTGCTGGGCAGAAAAGGCCCAGAGCTGCTGGTGGCTGCGTGGCATCAGGTACCGTGGCGATCGGAGCTAATTCTAGCCCTCTCAGCGCCCTCCCTCGGCGTGGGGCGGCGCAGACTGACTCCTGAGGCTGTATCTGGGGGTCCAAGTGGCGGAGGCAGGCCGCCCGCACCAGCGCTTCCACGTTGCCCCTCCTTCGTGTGTTGTAATTATTTTCTCTGATATTGCTGTTAAAAACCTTTAACATTTTCTACTTTAAAAAAAGTTTCAAAAACATCGGTTTGCACAAAGAGCCATGAGTTTCAAAAAGTGCAAGCCAGGAATCACTAGGGAAGTTTGAATAACATCTCTGGCTTCATCCTGGGAAATTGTGGTTCACCAGGTCCAGCGTGGGTCATCAGACTCTGCAAGTTTTGTCACGGTTCCAAGAGGGACCACAGACCACTTTTTGCCCCCTTTTTCTTGTTTTTTTGAGACAGTCTCGCTCTGTAGTCCAGGCTGCCCTTGAACTCACAGCCATCCTCCTGCCTCAGCCTCCAGTGCTGGGATCACAGGCGCGGGCCACCATGCCCAGTGTCACACCACTGTTCAAGAAACACAGTCCTGGAAAAGTCAGAGGTGCTAGGAAGAGATAGATTGTTGCAACCTAGAGTCCTAGGTTCTCTTAAGGGCGAGAGCAGGGTGGGAAGCGAAGCGTCACAGGCTGATAGGCACAGAAAGAGCGTCTGCCTGCTGAGGGCGAGAGGTTACCTGGCACTGGACCTGAGTCATGCACAGCAAAGCTAATTTTAGGTATCGCTTGGGTTTGCGTTGATTAGGGGCACTACCAAATGCTCTTTAGATCTGGAAAGGCTTTTAGGGACCTGGTTCTACCTTCCTGTGGATGGAAACGCTCTGAGCCAGGGTCAGGCGTCTGAGCCTCTCGGGGCGCGGGGACTGGGGCTGGGGCTTGGGGAGGTGGAGCTTGATTGGGAGGAAGCCAATACAAACATGTTTTCAACAGCAAAACCAGAAGGCAGGTGTGAACTATCCTGATCTAGCAGGTGTTAAATCACATTCTGGTTTCGAGAATTTCATTTTTCTTTTCATTTTCTTGCCGCAGCCATTTTATTCAAACTAATACCAAATTATGTACAAAGCTTAGCAGTTGTCCCAGGAACGGAGCTCAATACTTTTTAAAGATAAACTTGAAACTTTTACTGCTAGGCCAAAGTGGTAGCGGGTACATGATTTAGAATAAAGGTCACTGTCAAAATGTTATCTTCAGAAAAAGAGGAGCAGCAATGAAAACATGCTAATGAGCCAAATGGTTAACGTGGTAAGATAGAAATAATTAAAGTGGAGAATTTCCAAATTAGTAAGAGCTAGAAGGCTGTTTCGAGACGAGGAAAGGTGGTTCAGAGCGGCCAGGTCTTGCCTGGGGTTGGGGGCAGGTCTGGAAGCGAGTCTCTCGACTGCAACTGTGGAGGGTTTCTTGACCACTCCTCCCACCCGTATACAGCGGCCAGGTCTTTGTCCCACACACGTCTGCCGTCCCTCTGGAGGTGAGGTTCCACCCCCTTGCATGGTATCCCAGGCCTGTGGGAAAGGGGGGGGCTGCTTTGTCTTTTGGGTGTGGCTCAGGGAAGTCTTGTGACCTAAGAGTCCTTCGCCTGGATGGTCCTGAGGTGACTGCAGGGAGGACAGCAGCCGCAGTCAGGTCCCCCACGTGGAAGCTGGAGCTCTCCAGTCTGGCAGGGTTGGCTTGACTGTGTCCAGCTTCCCTTGGGTGCCCAGGAGCACCGGACACAGTCTCTGTCCTCTTGCAGGTGCCTAGGGTGGGTCCCCCACCTTCCACACGTGCCCTCCAAACTCAGTTACACCCTCCCCTCCTCCTGCCACCTCTCCCATTTCTGCCAGCCAGGGTCAGCGAATTCAACTGCCGGAGTCGCCGTGATTTAGGGCTGGCTGGGGACTGGACACACTGGTTTCCACTCCAGCACTGAATCCTCAGGGTGTCTGATTCATTTTTCTTTCTGGAGACATTGATTATGTTCGCAGAACACAAGGTTGTTTTACTAGAGGAATGAGGAATTTGATAAAAACGCTTATGACATGTAAGTAAGTAAACGAAGTTGTTCTCTGCCAAAGAAACTTAGGTGTGTTTCCTGCAGGCAAAGCCCTGTGCACGCCGAATGTTGATAATGGAGGGAACTAAGTGAGTGTATAGTGCAAATACTTCATTTGTGAAAATGTTTGGGGCTTGGGGAATTTTTAAAGTTATTCTGCAAAAAATGTATCAGCTAATTATTTTATTATAAAATTTTATTTTAATTTAAAATTTGTACCGAGGAGGTTAAAATTTCACAGTCAGCCCACCCAGCAGCGTTGAATGTTGTTACCTAAGTTATCTAAATACCGTCAGCAAATAGGAACGTATAGTTTCAGTCTTAAAGTGATGAATTTGGTTCATGAAAAGGCTGAACTTGCCCTTGAGGTTGTTTACTAGCTTGGGTTGGTCACCAAGACAAACCGTTCAAACTGGAAGAGAGAACAGCCCCACCCTGCTGTAGTACTGAGTCTTAGACCTCCCCCTGCCCCCTTTTTTAATTGCTGGGGAAAATTTTGAGAGGAGAGGGAGAAGGAGAGAGGATGAGAGTGAATTTAGAGGCACACAAAGCCATTTAGTATTTTCAGCATAAGTAAAGTGAAGCTCAATTCTCAGATACAATGCTAAGGCTGTTAATTTTGAGGTTGATATGAGCTAGACTTGGCAAAAGGAGGCGTTCTTGGGGACGTGGACAGAGTCCCCCATTGTGCCACGCTGACGGAGCCCCTGCCGTGTGAGGTTCTGTGCCTGTGACACTGAGGCTTAGGGAAGAAGCACAGGGCTCAGAGGACCTCAGCGGCCCTGCTCCATAGACCTTGGGGTGAGGGAGGAGGGCAGATGCTTCACTTAAATAAACAGAAAGCAGTAAGAAAAAGGGGTTCATAAAAAATAGCACGGGTGACACCCTGAGAAATGCAAAACTCCTGCAGGTCATATGGGAAAGAGCATAGTTTGAGAAACACTGTGTGGATAGGAGACGGAAAGGGATTAGGGACGATCATTTTGGGGGATCACCTTGAAGGAGGTGACTCTTTGGAGTGTGGCTTCCTGTGTGTAATTTTATCAGACACCTCGCTAATTTCCTTTGCTTGCCCAGCTGAAACTAAGGAAACAGCCAAGGCATTAAAGAAGAGAGTTCCAGGATTAAAGGACCCTGGAGGAACTTCTTGGTATTTGAGAACCAGTTGACAAGAGGCTCTTTTCAGCTGATCTCAAACTCTCTAGTGACAGGTAGGGTATGGGTGGGTGCCGAGAAATAAGGTCCCTTGAATCGTATCATGTGTATTAAAGGAGGTCAGGCCAGGAAGTGGTTCACCATACCACTCCCTTCAAGATGGCGTGGATGGTGGCAATGAGCCCAAATCATAGATTAGTCTTGCTGATAAATCTCCAACGTTAACAACACCCCAAAGGAAGCAAACACAAAAACTATAAAAGAGGGAAGTCCAACTCAAAAGAATGTTAAGAATTGGTGGTGAGGAATACCTTCCTATGGCGCATGAGAAGCATACATTGATTGTAAAGATGATGATGGCACCAAAACCTTATCTTACCCCACAAATACGTATTCACACTTGAGCCAAGGCCAGGAGCCCAGTCCTCGTGTTCACCGATGGGTCACGGAAAGCCAGATGTGTGAGACAGCATGGAAAAGAACAATGGGCAAGATAGGATTCATCTCTTTCAAAGGTGGCCTTTTTTCAAGTTAGGATAAAATGCAAGCTTGCAAAACCACCTCTAAGCCAACATTAAGTAGTAAGGGGGCTCAGAGATGGGGATGAATGGTCCCTTCTTTGAGGATGGACAGGAGAGCTCATAAAGCCTTCCAGAAGGCAGTGGAGTTGAGGATGGCCTTGGAAGATGTGCAGAAGAGAAACGTCCAGAGATGTTCATTTGTTACTTCAAGGGAAAAATTACCGAAAAAAGATAAACTCTTCATATCAGTCAGCTTTTCATCATTGGGACCAAAGACCTGAGAAAACCAACATAAAGGAGGAGAGGCTCACTGTGGCTCACAGTTTAGAGGGTTCAGTCCATGGTCAGCTGAGTCCAAGGCAGAAGCATCATGGCGGAAGGGTGTGGTGGACGGAAGCCGCTCACCTCATGGCAGCCAGGATATGGAGAGGCTTGGCCACCACCCAGAGAGAACAGCCCTTTGAGGTCACTGACCTATTGACTTCCTAAATCAGGCCCCCTCCTGACTCACAGTCAGCTCTGAATTTATCAAGGAATTAATCCTTGAGGTTAGCGCCCGAGTGGAGTGTGGATAAATAACACCCAGAAATACAGTGAAGGTGAAAGGAAATGTCATTTGTAGCTAGCGATACAGGTTTGTCTTCCCCACTAATACAGCTCCTCCAAGGAAAGCATCTTTCTCATGTGATCAACCCGAGCAGACCAGCATGGCCTGGGCCATCATTAGCTCTGAGTGAGGCATGCAGAGCTGAATCAAGATAAACAGGAGCATCTTTACAAACATTTTTGCTTTCTGGCCGTGTTTGGATCCTGTTTGTGGGCTGATTTTGGTCCTCCTCTTGGAAAGTATAACCTGTGCTATCAAATACACTCAGCTGTCTCTATTTCCTTTATTAAATGTAATTCTGAAATAGCTGTGTAACGTCTAGAATTCTGAAGGGATTATTTTAAGAAGGGATTTGTTTTTATTATTTCATTCTTGAATCCTTCTGTTTTTTGGTTTTTTTGGTACCTG